TTATGAATTTTAGACCCCACAAAATTATTTACTTATACATCAGATTGACCAAAAATGGCTAAATATTATATGTTATAGCTCATGAAATCGTGAATTTTGGACTTCGAAAAATTATTTGTCAATGGGTCAAGACAACTAAAAATGGCTAAACTTTACGAGCTTATGAAATCTTAAGTTTTAAACTCTGTAAAATTATTTACAAGTAGATAGAATTAGTTAAAATGATCAAATATCACGAGTTATAGCTCATAAAATCTAAAATTTTAGACTCCATAAATTTACTTGCTAATGGGTCAGAACGACTAAAATTGATTAAAAAATCATGGATTATAGGTTATGAAAACATTAATTTTGGAATCTACTAAATTATTTACGAATAAGTTTAATCAAATAAAAATAGCTAAAAATCGTGAGTTATAATTATAAGATCATAAATTTTGGACTCTGTAAATTTTTTTGCTAATAGGTCAAAACGACTACAAATTGCTAATAATAATAGGTTGACAACCCATGATATAATGAATTTTAGAGTTTGTAAAATTGTTTGCCAGTGGGTCTAATTGAATAAAAATGATCAAATATCATGGGTTATAGCTCATGAAGTTTGATTTTCATAAAATTACTTGCTAATGGGCAAGAAAGACAAAAATATGCTAAAAATCATAGGCATAGCTTATGAAATCATGAATATTTGACCCTATGAGTTTTTTTAACAATGAATAGAAATGACTAAAAATTACCAAATATCATTAGTTATGACTTATAAAATTATGAAATTTTACTCCACAAAATTATTTGTAAATGGGTCGGGATGACTAAAAATGTGTAAAAATCATGGATTGTATCTCACTAAAACAGGATTTTGCAGTCCATGAAACTATTCGCTAATAGGTCTAACCAAATAAAAATGGTTAAACACCATAGGTTACAACTCATGAAATCATTATATTTTAACTCTACAAAGTTTTTTTGCCAATGTGTCGACTAAAAATAGCTAAAACCGCGTGGATTATTGCTCATAAAATCGTAAATTTTAGAGTCTGTGAAATTATTTGTCAATGGATCTAATCGAATAAAAATAGATCAAAAGTGTGGGTTATAGCTTATTAAATCCTAAATTTTGAACTTTGTAAAGTTCTTTACTAATGGATAGAAACAACTAAAATAGTCAAAAAAATCTTGAGTTAAATCTCATAAAATCATGAAGTTTGAACTCTATGAAGTTATTTTTTCAATGCTAGTAATGAATAGAAATGGTCAAACTTATGGTTATAGCTTAAGAAATCATGAATTTATGCTCCGTGAAATTATTTGTCGGTGGGTTGGAACAACAAAAAATATCAAAATATTATAGGTTATAGCTCATGAAAATGTTAATTATAAGGTCAATAAAATTATTTTCTAATAGGGCTAAGTGAATAAAAATGGTCAAAATTTATGAGTTATAGCTCATAAAATTATAAATTTTAGACTCTACTAAGTTTTTTGCTAATGGGTTAAAATGATAACAAATGACCAAAGTTTATGGGTTACAGGCTCATAGCGAATGAACCATGAATTTTACAGTCTAAAAGTGATTTACCAATGGGTATCTAACATAAATAGCTAAAAATCATGAGTTATAGCTCATAAAATAATAAATTTTAGAGTCCATGAAATTATTTGTCATTGGGTCTAACTGAATAAAAACGGCCAAAAAAGGGTAGTGTAGGTTATTTTGACACGTTTTATTTCGGATGAGGCTTGGTAACGTATTGTCCTTTGTTTATTATTCTTTTTCGTAGGTTTTGGAGTTGGTATTTAGTGATTCACAATTTAAGATACGAGGTATATATATACATGAGGGTTTTCTTATTTGGATTATTTCGCTCGACGTACCTATTCTCGTGTTGTGGATTTTTAAATATCAATTTCCTTTTAGTTCAAGATAGATGATTTATACATCTATTTGTATTAATTTGCATTTTTATACTCCTAACCCCCTCCCCCTTGGGGCGGTGGAGATGATCTCACTAGTGTTTTGACGCTCATTATTTCCTCTCTTTTTAGGTAGTAAGTTAGGCGTCCGGAAAGTCGCAGGTTGGCGGATTTTCAACTTAGAGTTCATCATTTATTATTAGTAGTTTATCAGTGCTCCACAATAGTTATTATTTATTGTCAGACTCTAGAGATGTATTTCATTTTGAAGGTAGAGTGCCTTAGTATTGTTTTCATTTGATTCTATGTATTGAGATATTTCACATTTGTTTCAGACATCAGTTATGCTTCATTTTCTTTGTTGGAACATGATTACATTTAGTTTTGGATCTTTTCTCTATATTGTGTTCCTTGTATTATTATCTTTATTCTATCTGCTTGTACTTACACTTGTTTATTGTTTGACTCCCACTAGAGAGATATTATGGTGATGATGAAATGTGTTGTTACACAGTGTGGGTGCACGACAGGTTTGACATCCTTACGTTCACCGTGAACTGTAACCTTGCGTGAAATCAGGATCATCACATATAAACTATCATTTTTGTCACAGTTCATATATCTTGATCAAATGATAATTAACTATGCATAGTTAAAAATTAATGATTTTCATCGGCTACAACCCATGGTTTTTATTAAATTTTATTTATTTCAAGCAAATGGTAATTAAATACACATAGTTTAAATTTTATTATTTTAATAGGATATAACCCAAGATATTTGTGCTTATAAATTTTGCAATTTTTGTTTATGTTGACCAAATGGAAACTAAGTATATGTGTGTATCAAACATTGCGATATTCAAGGGCTTATAAGTCATGGTTTTTATCAAATTTCATTTATTTATGACTAAATGGCAACTAGTTATACATAGTTTAATATTACTAATTTTCATGGGCTATAACTTAAGAATTTTGTAGTTTCTATTTGTTTTGGCCAAATAGAAAATAAGTATGTGTATATCAAAATTTGCTACTTTCGTTATCTATGACCCATGATCTTTGAAAAAGTTTATTTATTTTGACCAAATTATAGTTAAGTATGCATAGTTCAAATTCATAATTTTTACGTGTTATAACCCATGATTTTTATCAAGTTCTGTTCATTTTGAGCAAATGACAAAAAAGTATGTATAGTTCAAAATTCATGATTTTCATGGGCTATAATATTTAAAACTTTTGTTCATTTTCATGAGCAAATGACAAATAAGTACGTATATATAAATCAAAATTTACGATTTTCATGGGTTCTGACCTACAATTTTTTGCCAAATTCCATTCATTTTGACCAAATAACAATTAAATACTCATAATTTGCAATGCTTCATTTTCATGTTTGAAAATAAATGAATTTTTACATGAAATGGAAATTAGGTATGTGCAAATCAAAATTTTCTACATTCATAGACCTCATGATTTTTATCAAATTTCACACATTTTTGACTAGATGGCAATTAGGTATTAGTTTCAAATTGATGATTTTCATAGGCTAACTTATGAATTTTATAATTTTTTCTAAATGGAAAATAAGTATGTGTATAAGAAAAATTTGTGATTTTGATGGGCTATAATCCAGAATTTTTATCAAATTTTATTCATTTTAACCAAATGGCAATTAAGTACATGTAGTTCAAAATTCATGATTTTCATGCACTATATAGTACATGATTTTGTCAAATTTTATTTTTTTCAACCAAATTTAAATAAGTATAGTTTGGAATTCGTGATTTTAGTAGACTATAACTCACTTTTTTGCAATAATTGTTTTTTTTTACCAAAATGGAAGTTAAGTATGTATAAATCAAAATTTATAATTTTTATAGGCTATACTAACAAGTTTTGTCAATTTTCATTCATATCGACCAAATGGCAATTAAGTGCGCATAGTTTAAAATTCATGAATTTCATGGACTATGACCCTCAATTTTTATAAATTTTGTTCGTTGCAACTGAATGCATAAGATAAACATATATATTAAAATGTTCAATTTCATAGACTATGCCCATGATTTTTTAAATTTTATTTATTTTGGCATAATGGTAATTAAATACGCATAGTTTAAATTCATAATTTTTAGCGGTTAACCTATGATTTTTTTGTTAAATTTTATTTGTTTCTACCAAATAGCAATTAAGTACGCATTGCTTAAATATATTTCATGATTTTCATGAGTTATAGCCCAAGAATTTCGCAATTTGTGCTCATTTTCATCAAAAAATTAAATATAACCCATGTTTTTTTACCCAATTTCATTCATATTCTTGATTTTTTTTGGGCTATACACCATAAATTTTGCAATTTTTTATTTTAGCAAACTAGAAATTAAGTATGTATACATTAAAATTTTCGATTTTCTTGAACTATTACCCATGATTTTTATTAAATTTTGTTCTTTTCAACCAATTAAGTACAAACGGTTTAAAATTCAAGATTTTCATGGGCTATATAACCCACAATTCTAAAATTTTCTATTTGTTTCGACCGAATGGAAAATACGTACGTGTACATCAAAATTTGTGACTATCATGGGTTATAACTCATAATTTTCTTCCAAATTTTATTTCTTTTGACCAAATAGCAATTAAGTATGCCATAGTTTAAATTTCATGAGACAACTTATAACCCACGATTATTATCAGATTTTGTTCATTTCGATCAATTACCAAATAAATATGCATCGTTTAAAGTTCATGAATTTCATGGGCCTACAACTTGTGGTTTAGCCAAAGCGGACACCATCATGGGCTATAAACCACATAAATTCTGAATTTTAACGTGCACATAAATTCTTTAATGTGGATGATAAAGTGTAATTGGTGCAAAGTCATGACTAATTCAAAGGGTAAATTACACTTAAATACCTTACTGTTTGCCCGATATTGCTCTAAAATATCCAATGTTTAAAACGCTACAGTTAAATACCCTAAACTATCTAGAAGTTGCACTAAATTTACCGGGCAACAGTAGGGTTTTTAAGTGTAATTTATCCTAATTAAGAAGAAACGCTATGCAACAGGCAAAAGGGATATAAAATTTCATCATCATTATTACAAAGGTGACAGCATTTTTTTTAGGTAAAAAAACAACCAAAATATCATTATGTCTCTCCAGCTATATGTTTTATTGACCTTGTATCAAACAGAACCTTGCAAACAAAAGAATGTAAGAAACTAGGAGAAGTCCCACGCTCACCGTCTGTTTAGAGCGTTTGTTTACACATGATGAACTTGAGAACAAAAAATGCCGCCGCCGCCGCTGCCGCTGCTGCCGCTGGGAAACACAAATCTTGGTATGTTTCCATCACTCGTGTCCTCTGTATCTACTAATGGATTGCTATAAAGAACAATTCTTATACTGCGAGTGGCTGAGTATTCACAATAAAAGTCTCCCAGAGACCAAGTAAAAAAAAAAACAGTACTTATCCTCCTAATTACAAGAACAGCACCTATAGTAAGCAACAAACAATTGGGTGCAGCAGCTAACTTTTATGTATGTCTTCGGAAGATATATAGCAGCCTACAATTGAATCACATCTAATAAGGGTTCAGCACCTGCCACTGTGTCCAATCAAAGTATCTCAGGAGTTGGGAACGAAAGTTCCCACGTATCCGAAACCAACGATGAAGAAAGCAACGGCTTGAACATATAGGTAAATGAAGTAATGGTTCTTTCCGAAGGCAACATCATAGCATCCACAGAAGAAGAGATAGGCTCCAACGCCAAGCTCCAGCACATGTAATCTGATATATTGGATCATGGAATTTATACCGATAGAGCAAAACAGAACATTCTCAATATATAAGAAGGGAGGGAATTAAGAACATGAGGTGACTGAGATATATAGCAGATGGACAGACAAGAAAGCACAGAGAGGTGAAAATAGTACCTTTCACCTATTCTGATTCGCGGTTTCCTAGCTGCTTTGATACTTGCTTTGTTTTTTAGAGCATCTCCTAGCTTCTCGGTGACCACCCATTCATTTACTCTCCCTGCCTCTAACAAGCCAATGAATGTCGCCTTTGTTCTGTGCAAGGACATGACATTCTCAAAAAGGATCCAAAATACCAGCAAGTGGAGAGATCTGTGACACAAAGGCATATGGATAAACTCAGATGATAATACTGCGTTAAGCTTTAGAAATGTACATAACCATAAATATATTGGTGATGTCATCTTAAATGTTTCCTTCACGGGCGACGACCGGAGATAACAGACTCATTAAAGAAAAATGAAATAAAAAGGCTATGACAACGAAGAATTTTTTGAACCTTGGAGTTCCAACAGCATTAAGAAGGGTAATGATGGAAGGTATATAGATTGCGCCCCACTTTGGTATAACAACTTCAGGCACCAATACAGTTGCAGGGATTACAATGCAGTAGAAAACAAAAGTTACAATATGAGCCACAATCTTCCGAACAAAGAAGAAATTGTAGATCACATGAACTTTCTTCAATAAGGACACTTTCTGCAACACCACGCGATGAGCTAATCAGATGAAAAAAGTAAATATTTAATCTCTTCATTAGACTGTCATTTACTTACCTTATTCCTAGCAATCTCCATCACCATCTTTCTAAACAAATTTGCAGGTCCACATGACCACCTATGCTGCTGATAGCGGTATGCCTTGAGGGTGCTCGGTAGTTCATTCTTAACCTGCATTTGTTGGATCATGATATCAAGATTGCTTTAAGGGTGGCACTTCGTCGCTAACCTCAATTTACTAAAATCTTGGATATAAAAATTTAAAATGTTGAATTGCCTTTGGAGTGCAGGGTGCTTTAATTGTTTATCCTTAACCTAAAGTTGTTACAAGTACGGATATCACAAATAAAGTTATTGAAACTAGCTCCTAGGATACAAGAGATGCCCAGCTGTGTTGACTGCTTCAACAAAACAGTCTAAGAAGACTAAGAAGTTTATGTCCAGCATTATAACTGCATCCATCTACATCTATATTTATGCAATTGATGTACAGAATATGTATATGACTGTATGCACGTATGTATATATATATGTATAAATACAAGTATGGACATACATTGAGCAAAATGAACTAACATCATAATTGTTCATGTGCAATGTAATTAGAAAGGTTGGCAATCAAAAGAACTAGTTACTTTATCTGCTTGTTATATACAATGTTCTTGTTCTTCTGTGCTCCAACTTGCAACTTGGGCTTCATGATTGGATGTAGAATCTGACTAAAAACTATGAGCATATACCAACAGTAGATGTTGGCTTCAACATAGAGCAATAACGTATCACAAAAAATTCTAAATGTACATGACACTAATCATGGGTACCGCAGTACCTTTAGGTCTCCAAGGAAGACAAATTTCCAGCCTTTGAGGCTTGCTCGAACAGCCAAATCCATGTCCTCTACTGTAGTTCGATCCTTCCAACCTCCTGCTTCATTGAGAGCTGCAATCCGCCAAACCCCAGCAGTCCCTGTGAAAATAGCCCAATTAGAAATTGATTTACATTAGAAAATCCATTATCATGCTACAACAAGGTGCATAATGCAACTGTGAAGTTTGCAGTGGCGGATAACTTCACTTAAAAATTAAGATATAAACTACGGTTCAACAAGGTTTATCAAGTTTCCCAATACTACAAGAAGCCTAGAAGTCACTTTGAGATGCAGGATAAACGAACAACAAGAAGCCTCAAATGGTTAATGTGATGAGTGTATCTAGTATACCTTACTATATAAATTCAGACATCTGAGTAGCATCTTTAAACCTCTAAACAGTAAATATTTTTAGACTATCTGGGTGCATATTTAAGAAACACAATCCAGAACCCTATCTAGGGCGATTTTGATGAAGTTCATCAATGAAGAATTTTGATCGAGGTGTCTGAATACTTTTGTTAGCATCATATATTGCTAATTCAGAAAGTTTAGTAATCAAATGTCAATTATGTTCCTGCACACAGTAGAGAAATGTGTGTTTATTCAGTTCAACTATTTGTGCAGTATACTAGCACTGATCTAATTGTGACCACTGCTACCTATGTGCTAGTGTATCTGGTGTGGTTTACTTTTGTTCATGAACGTATGTGGCAGAGTTTGTCAGCATCTTTCAGCTGACAGGGATAACAACTTTAGTAATCTGTTCTCGAAGAAAGATTAACCAGAAACTACAGTCCGCTATAGATCAATTGGAGAAGTGTGATCTACTTAGAGACTGCAAGTCAATCATTTTGTTTCAAACCGCATTACAGTTAAATATCTGTAGTGCAACTAAAATATATAATTACTCAACCAACCGTTGGAACTAATATTTTCCAGCAGGAGATAGCATAACCAAGCAAAGAACTCACCGTTGAAGCCGAAAAAGGCATAGGTGGAGGATCCAACCTCTTGTTCAACTGTGAAGTGGTAATCGAGGGACATCTCCTGCATCCTTGTCATCAAACACTCATCTGAATTCACTGTTAAGCAAAAAATTTATGACATGTTTTAGTTAACTATAGATGAACTGAGAGAGATTTACCTCCAAGAATACTTAAATTTTTTTAATAGAAATGAGTTCCTAACAAATAGCAGTCGTGTAATCTCCATCAAATATGAGTAGAGATGATCAGTGATGATTAACTGGATGCGGTAAGTGAACTGAACCCATTCCAACCTGACGATGGTCCAAACACCCCGTTGAATGATAGCTTGGGTGATAAAGACCATCTAAGAAATAAAATGCATTGTTTTCTTGCACGATTATCAAATAAAATCTCAAGAGGAGGGACATACAAATCAGTTATGAATGGGATATTGAGTTGGACATGTCACATGGGTGGCGGGGGACCATACAGCATAGCCATTTGATATTCATGGATTATGGATTAAGGTGTGTAATCAGTAGGCAAATAAATAGCGATTCGATATGTATGTGTTGTATAATATTTTGTAACAGCCTGTAGGCGTCAAAAAATGCTGAAAGATATCCAAATACAGCTCAAGAGGAAATCATCCAAAAAGGCAAAAGAACACAAGTATAGACTGTCTCACAGGCGAGACAGTCTTTACTGTCTCACCCGGCGAGACAGTCTTTACTGTCTCGCCCGCCCTACACGTGGCCACTAACTGTTCAAGAACGTGGGAAACGTCGTGGGCGAGAATCACGTGGATAACTGCCAAAATAACGGAGTTTGAAACGTGGGAAAGCAGTTACATCGAAAACTGCCAGAAATGTAGACAGTATTTTACTGTCTCGCTGGGCGAGACAGCAAATTTACTGTCTCGCTGAGCGAGATAGCAAATACTGTCTCGCCCGCCGAGACAGCAAATGCTGTCTCGCGAGCACTGTTCATCCTATGGGTATAAATACCCCCTGAAATCGATTTTCTGAGGGGGGAGGCTGATCATTTTGAGCAATTCAGAGCAGAGAGAGAGAGAGCAGAGGCGCTGATCTTACAGCCCATCCTTGATAATCAGGCTTTGACTTGATTTCAAGAAGAACGACTATCTTACATCGATAAGATATCGTTTCAATTTCTCACTTCGATAAACGAAGTCAGAATCATAAACCCCTCACGGTTCAATCAGAATCTGTGATTTGGTGGTCCACGAGTCAAAGCGCTCCCGGCACAGGCAAAGATCCCACGAAAGCAGTGATCCAAACAACGATCCTGCGTTTATTTTCTCAAGAGTTGTAATTTTCTTTTTGTTGTGTAAAAGAGTCTTATAAAAAGGCTGTTTTCTTTGAATTTATTGTAATCGACCGAAGATATAATGAATTCGACAACGAAACCAACTTTTGGCGAAAACACAGCCAACTTGTACTTCTTTAGCTAATATGCGTACACATGAATATGTAAGGAAAGTGACCGCGTAGAGAGTGAATAGGATCAGAGGCAGGCAACACTCAACAGAAATAGGTACAATACACAAGGGAGAGTGTTGGTGGGGAGAAAAGAAGGTGAGGCGGCAGTGGGAGTAAGAGCAAGCTTTGCTTGGTAACATTAGATATATATTATTAGTCCAGAGTGCAGTAGCAGATGGAATAATTGCACATGGGAACAGGATGTCATATAGAGTGGTGCGATTAAAGCAGCATTTACCCGCTTGCCCTAACAGATTACAGAACAAACAAACAAACAAACTTGAGATTCATCAGCAATGGTATTAGTATAGTTATAACCACTAATTCTTTTTAATCAGTCTTAGTTTTGACTTTTGAATTGCAACCTGGGGCAGGGCTTCTTTGAGACTTTGGAAGTACAGAGAGGATCAGCTAAGAGAATTTAATACGTATCCTCAGGAGTGTATTGCATTCATTCAGTTTAAAAGTGGGGCTGGTATACAAAAAGGCATGAGATGGGATTAGTACAGCATTAGAAAGAGTATTAGATGAATACATGGTTAAATATGCTTTGGACTCATGATTCAAATAGAATTAATCCTTTCGAGTCGATTGAACATAAATCTAAATAATAACACTAATTATGAAATGGATTAGAATCGTCAATGAATAAAAATTAAGATGACCATATTAGTGGCGCTGGGATTGGTTGCGTATACCAGTCAGTGATCCGGTCTTCTCTCGTTTATGATGCTCTCTGCTAGGGGTGGCATACGGGTTGGGTCGGGTCGTTTTGGGTCGGGTCAAATCTGCTAGATATTGTAATGTATATTAATATATCTAATGATTTCTATTCAACTATGTAATGTGTTCTTGCATCTATTTGTCATTTTGTGATTTGTTGACAGGCTTGTTTGGATAATGCAATTTTGCGGGGTCGAGCGCTGCCGTGGTGATTTCGTGCAAGGACCAGGGTGAACAGTATTTGGGTCATTTGGGTCATATACGGGTCGACCCTAATAACCCGGCGGGTCATACGGGTCGACCCGTATATGACCCGAACCCATATATACCGACCCGTATCCATCAATAACGGGTCGGGTTGGGTCGGTTTGACGGGTCGGGTAAGAAAATGCCACCCCTACTCTCTGCTGATACTCTTTTAATAAGACTATGTGAAAAAAGAGAATAAACAAAGTATGTGGGGACGGGTGACTGTATTGTTCATCTCTTTCTTTTTCTCTAAAAATCAAGGCACGTGAAGGTGGGACAAAAGCACTCTCTCTCATTAATTAATTGACGGTCAATCAATTAAGCAGATCTGCCTCATCACCCTCTCTGATTACGACCTTCAAACTGCAAATTGTCCCATTTAAATGCACACAACCCAGGCTGCCTTTGCTAGCTCATTTTCATGGGAAGCATGAGACCTGGAGATTTTCTTAATTATTTTTGCGGACACTCAAACCCGTTCTCAAAAATTATTTCTTTAAACACCTCTCCTTTATATGTATGTACACACATGATAATTCCCTCCGCAGACTCACGCCGCAGTGTGTTAGTTGGTAGGTAATGGGTTATTTAATTTAATAATTTGATAATGCTGGCTGAACTTCATAAAAGGCAAGTGGGAACGGGAGATTTCTAAATTAAACTATGACAATTAATGTTAGGAGTTCAAAAGTACAAACAAAGAGCATTTGTGTGAATTAAGAAGCAGAAATTGGGAGAGAACTTTAGTTGAGAGTAATGGGCTCAACCTTTTCGTGGGTGAAAGGGAACACTTGAATTGTTGTACCAAAGCCAGCAATTATTAAGAGCGTCCCCAATAATGAATAATGAATTAGACCAAGGAGGAGCAGTACTCTGCTAATGATGATTGATGGTGATGATGCTGTAGCAAAAGGCAAAACTGGAAGTTGAAAGCAAAAGGCAACCAAAAATCCATTCATCTTGTAGAAACGGGTAAAATTGGTGTTAAACCCCCTAAATTCAAGTATGTGTGCTGGTAATTGAGGGAAGTGAGGTGAAAAAAACAAAGAGCTCCTGGGACTGGTAGATAGATGATGAATATGAGACTGTCGGCAGCTTTTAATTAAAGAGCTGTAACTAAAAGCTAAGAAACAAGGGCGAAGTCAAAGGAGGAGTAAAAGGGAAGGAAGAGAATACCCCAAAACAAAAAAAATAAATAAATAAAAAATAAAAAACAGGTGGCGGGGGTCCCATTTACAGATAGATACACTTTGGCTCTGCAACTGCAATTCATAAAAAGCTGGGTACTCATTCTCAAGGTGGCTCGCCTCATTTTAATAAAGATAATAAAGACAAGGGGACGGGAACAGCGGGGTCTGCGTTGCTTTTACTTGCTTTCATTTCTTCATTAATCGCCTGGGAGGTAATAAAAGGGAATGAAGAAAATAACACGATGAAGGGGGACTCAAAATTAGAGCTCACAATAGGAGAAAAAACACCACGACCAATATGTATGATATAATATAATATAATATAATATTTTAATTAATATGAACCATACAACACACGGCGACACCAGATCCTGAGCTAACTAATATCCGATAATAAAATATAAATATAAATAAAAATATATAAATATAAATGTAAATAACCCATAGGAACAGAAATGGAAAAGAAAAAGTGAAAGAAGAAAGAAGAAGAAGAAAGGTCAAAGCAAATTTAAGGGTGAGAAGAGGGCAAAGTAAGATAGGGACATGTGTTACCCTGCTTTCGCCGTGTAAGTTGTACTAGTAAAAGCAAGCGTTTTTTCAGGCACCCCCAGTGGGACCACACTGCTATTACCATTAATATATCACTTATTTATAATATATCGGTTTTTCTATAGAGTGCTTATGGGCAGGAGAGAGATTGAGAGAAATGAACGAAGAGGGGACCCCCTAATTTGCATTGGGATCCCCTAACAGCATTAACCGGGCGATTAATAATGATGGCAAAAGTACGCAGCAATTAATTGGCAATAAGGGGGAGAGATAAAGAAAGATTAGTAGCGTACCGAATTTCCAGCGAGCTTGAACAAGGCCGACTTGAGGGTTGTGGATGAGGAAAGGGATGCTGCGGATGAGGAAGTCGTGTTCGGGCTGGAAGTCTGCATCAAAAATGACGACGTAGTCGCAGTGGTTCACATAACTATGTTTCATGCCTTGCTTCAGGGCTCCGGCCTTGTAGCCATTCCTGTTACCCCTGATCTCGTATTTTATGTTAATCCCTTTGCTCGCCCACCTTTGGCACTCCATTTCCACCATATCCTGCACTTATTTATTTATTTATTTATTATTGTTACTACTTTTTTTTTCCACATTTGCGCTGCCTATGACTACGGGTAACGATTTCCTACTCAGAAAATACCAAATGACGCCACATAACAATTACATTTATAGCACAATTCAACTTTTAACGGACAAAATAACTACATTAAATAACGGGGCCGGGGCAAAACAAAAAAAAAACAAAAAAAAAAACAACTCACCTACTCAAAATTGAAAAACAATAACGAGCAGTTGAGGAAATCAGGGATACATCGTCTTTGCCATCAATACATATATAGGAATAGCCTTCTTATTTGAGGGAGGGAATCGAATTTGACACTCTAACAAATACTAATTAATGTCTTTAATTATCGGAAACTATCATTGCCATCGTCAAATTAACAATAGCGCCTATTAACCTGCGTCCCCATCAATTCTCCGATTTTATATAACACGCAGCTACCGAGACAAAACCTCCCCAGTCGGGTCCGAAATGGAAAAGGACGAGATCACCCACATGAGATTCACAAACAAAAAGCGGTTGAGCAAAAAATTGATTAAAACCATAATTAAAGAAAATTATTTGTAAAAAGAAATTGAACTTTATTTTAGTTTTAGATGGTAAAATCAAGAAGGCGAGTAATGAAATTGGAGGAGGAGGAGCAGAAGACAAAAAGAAACGAGGTGAAAAGAAAAAGGATATTTATGGGGCAAAAATCTTTGAGGGTGGACGAGGAGCGAAAGTAATTATCTACCTTGATGGTTGGATCGGTGGAATCGTCGAGCACTTGGATAATGACTCGATCGGACGGCCAGGAGAGGCCACAAGCAGCTCCAATAGAGAGTTGATAGACCTGTTAACATCCATCCCCCAAAAGGGAAGGAGCAATCACAATCTCAATGTCTTCTTCAATTACAAACACAAACAAGACAAGAAGAGGGGGATCATATTAATGTTCAAGCTAAAGTTAAGTGAGGGGGTGGGGGAAAGAAAGGGAGGGGAGAAGAACAAGAAGAAAAAAAAGGACCTCTTTTTCGTTGAACATGGGGATTTGGACGAGGACCATAGGATAATTAGCGGAGCTGCCGATCTCGAGATCGTCGGTGATGGGCTCCCAACGGTAACGCTTCTCGGGCTTCTTGCCGAAGAGCTTGACAAGAACAATGACGATGGCCATGTACACCTTCTCCACGAACAGCATTACCGACATTACCAGGCACAGGAAGACGAGCATCCTGAGGAGGGGGACGATCACCGGCGCCTTAATCTGTTGCCATATTAGACCTATCTGCTCTGTGACGTCATCCCTCCCCCCTTCTTCATACGAATCTCTGAAAAGGGTCGTCGTCGATGTAGCCATCTCTCTCTCTCTACCCCTCTCTCTCGGTATATATATCTCTCTCCAGCAGAGAGAGAGATAGAGCAAACAAATTACTGAGAGAAATTTGGAGAGGCAATGGGGATTGTACGAGGATTTAATACTGGCGATTCTGATGGATTTGTATACAAGGGAGCCTCTCTCCCTCTCTCTCTCTCTCTCTCTCTCTCTCTAGATTGGGTTGCTTCCAATCTGATCTTCTATGTCTTTCTCGATGTTTTTGTTTTCTCTGCGTATTTTCAGTGAATATATATAGGAGAGAGAAAAGGAAGAGATCGAGAATGGGCTCCTGATCCAGGCACTGGATTTGGGAATGGAAGTGGAAATGGAAAAGTGTATTGCTGAGGGATTACGCAAGAAGAAGAGGGGGTGTTGCTGAGAGGATGAGGTGGAGCTCTACTGTCACAAGCTTCACTTTTCCCCCCCACCCTGGCCTCTTCAAAACTAGAGCACAAGAAGTACCCTTAGATATGATGGATACACACGGACAGATAGCGGAGAGACAGAGGAGTACTGAGTGAGTATTTAAGGGAAGGAAAGAAATTAAGAAGAAGAAGAAGAAAACACCCAGAAAAGGGAAAAGAAATGAGATCAGATCTCACCTCTTCCCCCCCGAACTCTTTTTTAGTCTTCAAGAATCAATAACAGGAACAGGAACGATCGAGCTAGGTGGGCAATGTATTAGTGTAACATATGAATGGGTTGTACGTATTTGTGTCGGTAAAGGAAAAAATATAATATATATAGCTAGAGGAGGAAGCTAGCGCAGCCCCACCATAAAGCCCCAAAGTACTCAAAAAACATATAGAGAGCGCGCACTGGGAAGACGAACAAGTGCAAGCAACAAAAAGGTACAGAAAATAACGTGGGGAGTCTAATTTAATTTAATTAGTAAGAAATATAAAAAAAAAATGGTGCCGAATATTTTATTACGTTCTTCTCTCTCTCTCTTATTTCTTCTAGGAATCGATGGGACCCTTTCTCATTCTACGGTTGCGAATTGCCGTATAGAAACCCAACCAACAACCTCAGGCTTGAGTCCTTTAAATAAATAAATATATATATATATATATATTCCCCTAAAATAAATTTAAAAAAGTTGTCAATGCTATTACGGTTAATTTATTGGTTAGTCCATGCACACATAAGTAAAAGAAAGTAATTACATTAAAAGCAAAAAGCAAAAAGCAAAAGCAAAGGTACTAGCCGCGGATCAGTCCGCTCATGAGATTTCAAAGGCTGAAGAGGAGGCGACGACCAGCCCTAATAAATACACTATTGTATGTTTTGTTTTGTAACAGCAAGATGTCACGGCGCAAATCCAGCGCCCGTAACCAACTCCAATTTACTTCCTCTAACGACTCCCACTTTGTCCTTTTCTCTCTATTCCCATGTTTAGTTTCTTTCGACTCAATTATTTCATTTCATTTTATTAATTGAGTCAAAAACAAAACGAGATTGTTTTCCCTCTTTCTCGAAAAAGGTCCGTCATAATAAAGAAAATTAATATCGTAGTTAGTGTCGGTAGGCAACTATAGAAGGATCCCACGCGTCCCTGACACGTGGACGAGGACTACGACAGCACGTGAACTCCAACTGTACAGAGTGAGGTAAGGTTGCTGAAACTAAAACGGTCAAATGTAAGATTTGTTTCAAAACTTGCAGCGAGGGATGGATATAACGTTCTATCGTGTATTTTTGAAGTTGCATTCCGACTGGATGGTTATAATTTGATACTTTTCTATTAAAAAAAGCAAAACTTTAATATGGTTTCCAAGTATTTTAGACTGATTTCATTTGGATCTTTAAACTTTATAAGTTATCAAAGGAGGCGCCTAGAGTTTATTCCGTCATCAACAAAAGACCTTTTTATTTATTTATTTATTTTTCATTAGTAGTTGCTGAGGTGAAAAGATTTTTTGTCATTTTTTCCTTTTTTTTTTTTTTTAGTGCTAACTGGATGTTGATTGGACCACCTAAAATTTTTAAAATTACAAGCAGTCCTTGAAGGTCTTTTTTTTTATTTTCAAATACTACAAACAGTCTTCTAAACTTTTACAAACAGCTGCTAAATGCTTTGAAAATCACAAAAAACTTCTTAATATTTTAAAAAGAGTCCTAATTTTTTACAAACAGCCCCTTCAAGCTTTTCAAAATTACAAAGAGCTCAAAATTTTCAAAATGCCCCCGAAATTGATAAACAACCCAAGAAATACAAAAATTATAAATAATCAACTAAATTTTTACGTCGACCCCCAGAAAGTTTTGAAAATTATAAATAATCCTCCAAAATTTTACAAACAATCCCTAAAAAAAATTACAAACTGTCTAAAAGTTTTGAAAATTATAAAATAATCCCTTCAATTTTTTGCAAATAGCCCTCTAAGAGTTTCAAAATTTATAAATAACCTCTAGAAAATTTACATGCCACAAAAATTTTTAAAAATTATAAAAACAAATAAATGTAGGTGGTTATTTATAATTTTCAAATTTTTTTATAAGGCACTTGTAAAAAAATTTTGTAGGTTTTTCATAAAATTTTAGGGAGTATTTTTAATTTTTAAAAAATTTAGTAGCTATGTATAAATTTTTTAGGAAACTATTTATAATTTTTTAAATTTCTAGAGCCTATTTATAACGTTCAAGACTTTCAAAGGTTTGATCGTAATTTTAAAAACTTTTAGGGATCTACTCATCATACAATCATCAAAGAAAAAGGAAAATGAAAAAATTTATCATATCAACAATTACTAAAGGAAAATTTTAAAAAGAATTTCTAGTGATAATAGAATTAATGTTAGAGATCTTATTTGATGACTTTTAAAGTTTAAGGACTCAAATAAATATTGTTTAAACATTAGGGATTGTAGGATGTCTAAAAATTACTGCAGACATCTGATCCCCACAAAGCACAAACGATGGAGGTTACAATCTGACAACCTTCACAACAACAGATGAAAGTTATAATTTGACAACTTTCACAATATACGAGAGTTATAAGTTGACAACTCTCACATTTCAAAGAGCCAAATGCAAGGATTACAAGACGACGATCTTTGCAGAACTTGAGAAAAGAGATTACAATTGACGATCTCTTCAAGCCCAAACGCAAAGCTCATCATTGCGTTCCAGATTCAAGACGCAGAGCTCACCTCTGTATTCCAAGAACAAAACGTGAAGCTCATTACTGCGTTCCAAACTCAAGACGCGGAGTTCACATCCGTGTTCCAAGAACAGAACGCAGGGTTCACCATTGCGTGTCCAGACCCAAACGCAGAGCCCAACTCAGCGTCCGAAGTTCAAGACGCATAGTCCTTTCCCAAAACGTAAACTTCGCATTTAACTCGTTCAAACACGAGTTAAACGGTTCCAAAACCGTTTTGCATGATCTGAGGGGATCACAACCCCACTAAAGAGTGATTTTAGGGGTTAGTTACACCCATAAAACCCCCTATAAATAGCTAAAAATCAGCTTAAAATGGATCTTTGGATCATCTGGAGATCGGAAAAAGATCTTGGCAAAGAGGGGCATTTGGAGTCTTGATCTTCTTAGCTTTTGTGGAGGTTTTTGTGAAGGTTTTTCTTGGAGATTTCATCCTTGTCTTGTGAACCATTTCGGTTAAATTTAAGAGGATTAATTTTCTTTCCGAAATCAACTCTTTTACATAGTCTAAACTTGTTTAGAGTTTGAAACTTGCATCGTAAGTTCTCTTAAACTCGTTCAGAGTTCTACCAAGTTCCACGAAGCGAGGTGTCCGGATCGTCAACGGGATATAAGATTCAAGCTTTCATCGACACCAAGAAGAACCCAGGTTTAAACAAAGGGGAGGGTCTCCGTTGATCCCTTCTCTCTTTTGTAAATCAGGAAACCGATACAGAAGAGTTGTAATTTTTTTTCTAAATCAGTTAGAGAGAGATTGCAAAGAGAAATTGTATTCATTCTTTTTCTAAGTCAGTTAGAGAGATAAATACAAATTTTATTCTTATTTTTTCTTTAATTTTCCCACAAATAGGGACCTATAGTGAAGTTTTTGCAAAGAAATAAAAAGAAAGGAAAGAATTAGATGGGGTCAATAAACATGGAAAATTGGCAATAACTTAAATTGGGCTTAATTGCACTTAAATGCCCTATAGTTTGCGCTTACATACGCTCACTTATTTTTGGCAGCACTTATATACCCTATAGTTCCCCCCCTAGTTTGCACTTATTTTTGGCTTTATGCAACTACAGGAATGAGGATAGACCTGTTATGACTTGTAGCTCATTCATGGAGAGCTTGAGGAAATGTGGGAGGATAGATAAAGCTATTGGGTTTATGGAGAGTGATGGAGAAGGGGATGGTTTTAGATGGGATTAGTTACAATTGTTTGCCACTGGGAGCCATGTTGGCAGCCACATTCGCATCACGTGAGGCGTCGCGTGAAAAATTTCGCCATAAATTTGGGTCCGGCCAAAGTTGAGGCTTATTTGTCGACGGTGAAAAAATAGTATATCAATATGTCACTGGAGCAAAAAATAATATACCACTATGTCGTCAGAAAAAAAAAATACCAAACTGTCACTAAGGGTAAATAAAATATACCAATTTGATATTTTGACTAACCTTATAACTAAGATTGGGTACATCGACTAGGTTGAGAAAAAAGAAAGTACAAGGACCACTTTGAGAATGAAACTAGATACAGGGACCAAATTGTTCTTTAAGTATAAATAAAAGTGTTAAGGTGTAAAATTTAAAATTTTAGGATATATAAGTACTGCAAAAACAACAAGTGATGGTATATAAGTGCGAAGGAGAGGAAACTATAAGGTATTCCAGTGCAATTAAGCCATTAAAATGATTGCCAAATATACTGCTAATTTTAAAGCATACTCGACTCTTTATATTTAGTAATATATAAATGAGTTGTTCAGCCTCAATATTAGTTTTAAGGATTAATTTTAGAAAAAAACCCCTCAATTATGGGGAGTGTCCCATAAACCCTCCTCGACTACTTTTCAATTTGAATAAACCCCTTTCAAGTCTGGGTGCATTTTAAACGACCCTTCTCAACTTTGAAATTTAGACTTATATCTTCCTAAAATTTTCTCTCTTAAACCCTCAACTAACAGAGTTATACGTCACCTAATAAGAACAAGATTAAAAAGAATAAGATAACCCCTCAGCCATTAAAAAAATGGTCTTCCTTATTAGTTTGTGTTTTCTTAACTAAAATGAGTTTTTTTTTTTTTTAAAAAACGTTTTTAAGTCATATCACATTTTAAAGTAACAACATTCAGCGGAATTTGTTGAGAATTTGTATATATTAGGTGTTTGGTGACACCCCACAGTTAAGGGGTGTTAAATTAAATTTTCAAAGTTGCAGCGTTGCTGGGTGCGAAGAACACCCCAAAAAATTGGTGTCTGGAATCTTTATGGTTTTAATTAGAGATACAACGGATGAAGGTAGCCGCACAGCAATGCAAAGTATTTTCACAGTATTATTATTTACCATACCACTCCTCCTCCCCTAAACTCTTCTATGATTGACATGTATCATGTCTAGCAATACAACGTTACATCTTCTGCTGGAATGCCTCAAGTTTCAAAATTAAAAGCTCTGTAATTCCTTCATATTCCTATTTATTTTTGGGAAAGTTCATTGTCATTACAATCAATGAACGATACTCATATTCTTTACATTATGATTATGCAATTAATGGGAAAATTAAGGAAGAATTGGA